ATCAACTGCATTTTTATTGTCTAAGTGCTGTCTCTTACAACTGTTTATTTTAGACCTACCGCTTTTGTTGTGTATGTGAGAAAATATCAATGACCTTAATAGAACTGTCAAGTTCAGCTTTTCATGCTTGCGTAAAGTAATATTAATAGTCTTCCGCATTGTTGTCCCCCCTTTCAGGTACTGGTCACTTTTAATTGATGTGGGCCATTGAAATAATCTGATTTGTCTGGGCATACAAATTTTGATTACAGAAAAGGTTGAGTGTTGACTCATGGAGCTTAAAGTTTCATCTTCAAAGCCAGCACTTTTACCTTCTGATGGCAACAGTGATCCTGAAGAGAAAGAAATCAGTGAAGAGGATGATGATGATCGCAATCATAAGCATCGTAGGAGAGAACTGCATTCTCAATCTGAGGAGACTGATGCCATTGAACCAGTTTTCAGTAGACCATTCAGGAAACGAAAGCCTTTTGAGAATGGACATCCTTATGGTGAAGGAGATTCTCAGTTTAGTGAAATCAGGTTCCCAAGAAGACGAGGAATGGGTTCATTTTCCAGGGCCCCTATGGAATCATACCAAAGAATGAGGCTGAACCAATCACTGTCTGGTGATGCTAGTAATGGTAGGGGTCGAGGGAGAGAACATAGTGCTTGGGCCCAACGTGATTCAAGGTTTGGCTCGGCTGATATTGCATCTCAACTGTTTCCACAGGGCCCTGTTACTCCTGGTCTCTTTACTGGAAGAGGGGTGCAAAACGTTTCTAATGCACAGAGTTCATCTTGGAGTGCATTTGGAATGGTTCCAGGAATGTCTAATGGCGGCCTTGATACAATTCATTCCCTTGGTTTCCAGGGAACACTCAGGCCACCCTTGAATCCTACTGTGGGTATGGGTATTCCAAGGCAGAGATGTAGAGACTTTGAGGAGCGTGGATTTTGCCTAAGAGGAGATATGTGCCCGATGGAGCATGGAGTAAATCGTATTGTTGTTGAAGATGTTCAGGTGTGTGGACTTTCAGCTGACAAATAGTTATTACTGTCTGTTCCATTATATGTTATGGGAGGGAATGGTTTTCTGTCAATATTTTATGCTTAGGGTGTTTCTATCTCTGGTCTTCATCGGAATGCTGAGTGTTTGCTTACTTGATTTTTTCATCTCTTTCAATTAAGCTTTTGTAAGTTGAGTCAGGACTCCCTTATTAGATCATTCTTCTTTATGAAAACACATTATGTTTTGTATATTAAGCAAGTAAGCGATGAATTATTTTGGCAAAGGAATCTCCCGTTCATTTACTGTCAACACTTTATTCTTATACTTTGCAATTTCTTAGCCTGGGCACTTTGGTTTTATGTTATTGTTTTCCAATTTGCAGAGCCTTTCTCAGTTTAATCTTCCTGTGTCACTTCCTAATGCACACATGCTAGGACCAGCTACTGCACAAGGATCTTTACCTGTGATAGGCCCTTCTGGATCATTGGTTAGTGGCAAAGCTTTACATAACAAAATTACCAAACCTCCTGTGATTGATGATGGATTGGGTTTGACTGATGCTTTTGTTGATGGTTCTATGGCTGGTGGAGCTGATTTTTATGATCCTGATCAGCCTTTATGGTCAAATGATCGTTCTGAAACTTCAGCAGTACTCCAGGATTTAAATCCATCTAAAATTGATGATACTGGGCCTTTGTTAGATGCAGAATCCTCTGATCATGATCAAGTTGGGCAGTGTGATGCCTTTGAACTTGAGCATCCACTTAGAGGTGCTAAGGCAGCTTCAGGATCTCAGAGTGTGTGGGGAAGAATCAGAAGGTCAAAAAATAAGTCGAATGGGAAAGAGATCACTGATTTTACAGGGGATGCTTCAAGTTTTGATGAAATGGGAAAAGATTTGGAATCGTCCTGCAGCAATCAAGGAAACTCCCGTCCAGGGAAGCAAAAAAATGTAGATACTATTGACCCACAAATGACAGAATCATCTTTCAAGCCCCAAAGTAGTTCTGGACATAATATGAGAAAACCTTCTCAAAAGGCACTTCGAACGCTGTTTGTGAGAGGCATTCCACAGAAAGACAACAAACCAGATGCTCTTCTTTCACATTTTCAAAAATTTGGGGAGGTCATTGACATCCACATCCCACAGAGTGGTGAACGAGCTTTTATTCAATTTTCTAAGAGAGAAGAAGCTGAGGCTGCTTTAAGGGCACCTGATGCTGTGATGGGCAACCGTTTTATAAAGCTTTTCTGGGCAAACAGGGATAGCATTATGGATGATGGTTTAAATGGTGGCATTAATTTACCTTTGACTCCTCGTGGAGTAACATCCAGTGTGGGTCAACCCCACCTATCTGTTCCTTATAAAGGAAAAGACAATATCCAGTCCTTAGCCTCAAAAGCTGCTGAACATGGTCCTGTTGTTCTGTTACCTTCTTCTGGTCTACCTAAGCCTGTGGCTCATAATGTTCCCAAAGCTGCACCAGCTGTGCAAAAAAAGGTGGAGAGTTTAGAACTTTTGAAGGAAGAATTGCGCAAGAAGCAGGAGCTGCTTGATCAGAAGCGGAATGAGTTCCGACGTCAGTTGGTTAAACTTGAGAAGCAGGTGATTGCCTGTTCTTTTTTCAAAATTGTCCAAAGAAAATGTTCTTTAAGCTGATATTGAGTATCTACTGAGATTAAGTGATTTTATTCTTTATTTTCTCTCACCAACTTGAAATATTCCATTATATTCTTTTTCAAAGCCTACTTTTAAACAAACTGACTTTTCGGAGCATTCCTGCAAGTTGTTATTTGATATGCTTCCTAGTTGTTAACTGTAGAAGTACTTTTTTCCATAATAATGACGAGGGGTGATTACAGTGAATATCTTGTATCTGGAATTGTTTATGCAAGTCATTCTTTGTTTCCTTCCCACATATGATGATATAACTTTATGTTAACTGTAAAGGTTCTTATTCTTGTTTCCACAACTTATATCAAGATTGACTATAGCAATTAATTTGTCCTCAGAGTAAGCAGATCTCATGTTTATTGCAGTTTGTTCTTTGTTTTTCCTCTGTATATTGACGATATAATCTCATTGATGTTTAATAAACTAATGTTAGGGTCTTCTCTTCCACCATTATGTGGTCTATGCAGGCTGTAGGTGTGAAAGCTGAAGCAGTCTCAGACCAGGATCTGAAGAAACAGAAGGAGGGAGAAACAGTATCTTATTCTGCAAAAATGCAAAATTCAAGCTCCGCGGAACTTAATAATGATGTATCTTCAACACAAGCTGACGCAATCTCTGATTGTAGCAGATCAACAGAGAATGCGGAGCGCTCTTGTTCTATATCATCTTCTACTGTGGCCACACAGGAACCTTCCAGCTTGAAGCAGTCAATTCGTCCACTGGCACCACATGGTGCACCTTTTATATTCAATAGATACAAACTAGACAATCGTCCCACTGCCTTCAAAGTTCTTCCACCTTTGCCATGTGGTCTTGCAAATGTAATTTCTTTCCGTCCTCTCTCAGATAGTTGAAATTTGCCAGTATTTGCAAATAATTTTGCACATATTTTTTACTTCCATCTTCTTATGCCACTTATGTGCCTTAACTTTTCTTCCAAGGCAGAGCTGTTAGTATGTTAGAGCATGCCTATATTATTACCATCTTCTCCTTCTCACATGGATAGGTTTTCGAAAGTTTATGTCCGCACTTTGAAAATTTTGTTTTATTTTCTTATACAATGCACTCATAATTCCCATGGTCAAGGTAGGAGATATCTGCATGTGTTTCTACCTGTTCTCATATTTGCAAATCTTTATTTTTCTGTAAAGTTCCTTCTTCCCAATTTAGGTGCCACATAATTCTTCTAGATGTGTGAGAAAGGATCTGAGGACACTTTATAGTACTTGTCATTAGTGTTATATCTCCCTTGGTTAGCTACAATAGTCCAGGTTGATCTGTAGATTCTTTTCCCTCCTTGCTCTTATCTTTGTATGATAAAATTAAGAATGGTTTTCCTTTTCTAGATTGCTGTCTTGAAGGAACATTTCTCTGCTTTTGGTGACCTTACCTCTGTTGAGCTGGAAGATTTGGAGCCTCAAGATAGTAATAATGGCTCAGAGACGTTAAACATATCTGCTAGGATATGTTTTCCAACGCGCCGGTCTGCTGAGAGGGCATTTTTGAATGGCAAAATCTGGCAAGGCCAAGCTTTGCAGTTTATGTGGTTGCAGTCTAGTAATTCTACCAAGGATATTGGTGTCAGAAAAGATGCTGCTCCTGCTTTGAAGCAGCCTTCAGATGCTAGTGTTCAACCCATTGCAGAAGATCTTTGACTGGTTCAGAGGAAGGAAACACTGCAGGGACTGATGCACCTGAAAAAGGTTACATGGAACGCGAGAAGCAGCCTTCAGATGCTAATGTTCAGCCCATCCCAGAAGATCCTTTGACTGGTTTACAGGAAGGAAATGAAAAATGATGACTTTTCTAACATAGGGTCCCACTCCCTAGTTGATGCCAGTATAAACTAATGACTTTTCCAACATAGGGTCTCAAACTCTAGTTGATGCCAGCATAACCTGATGACCTTTCCAACTTAGGGTCCTACTCCCTAGTTGATGCCAGTATAACCTGATGACTTTTAAACATAGGGTCTCACTCCCTAGTTGATGTCAGCATTACTTGATGACTCTCCAACATAGCATCCTGCTTCCTAGTTGATGCTAGCATAACCTTATCACTTTTCCAACATAGGGTCCCGCTTCCTAGTTGATTTCAGCATAACCTGATAACTTTCCAACATAGGGTCCCACTCCCTAGTTAACGCTAGCATAACCTGATTATTTTACCAATATAGGGTCTCACTCCCTAATTAAAGCCAGCATAACCTGATG